TTTCCCCTTTTTGTAATGAATTGAAACGATATTGTAGAATGTGAGAGTTTGTGATTGAGAGATTTTGATACTGGTATAAATATATGGAAATTTGGCCATTGAAAAACTTTAACTTTAGGTGGGTTGTTTGAGAAATTGAATTAAAAGGGATTAATAGAGGTGACAATTCAGTCAATTCAAGATATAATTGACTAAAGAGATTTTAGGAGAATGTTAATTGAGATTATTGATTACAGACTATTTTGTTTGGAAATCAAAACATGAAATATGGGAGAGAATTCAAAGAGTTTCATTTGATTTAATGAGAAAAACTGTTAATTTTCCAATGGGGAAATGGGGCGGCACTTTCCTTAGGTTTTGGCCTAACAAGCTATAATTTTTGCGACTCGACCGCCTTAAACCCGGGTTTTCTGGGTATTGTTTGGTTTGCTTAAGTTGTAAATGGGTCATTTGAATGTAAAATAGGTCGAAATCGAACCAGTACCCCAATACATCCTTAGTACAGATCGAAGGAGTGAACACACAAGAAGAAGTAGCATGGTATTTGGGAAAGAGGATTGCTTACATTTACAAGGCTGAAACTAAGAAGAATGGATCCCACTACCGTTGCATTTGGGGTAAGGTTTGCAGGCCTCATGGTAACAGTGGTGTTGTTCGCGCTAAGTTCACTTCCAACCTTCCCCCTAAGTCTATGGTATATTTCTTTCTCTCTCTCTTTTTTTTAATCCAACTTCATATTTTGGGTGAAATTATTGATTTTTTTGAATAATATTGTAGGGAGACAAGGTTAGAGTTATGATGTATCCCAGCAACATCTAAGAAGAAGGTAATTTGTGATGTTTTTTTTTATTTTTTATTTTATTTTTTATTTTATTTTTTTATTTGATACCATTGATCAGTTTGGTAGATTGGTATGTATTTTTAAGAAAATTTATAGTATCATTTTTGCTGATGTTTGGATTGTTGTGCTTAATGTGATGTGGGAAGGGGAGTAGAAGTAAATGTTGTGCTTAATGTGATCTGATCTGATGTGATGCTTAATACTGTTTTAATTTGTAACTGTGAAGCTGATGCCTCAGAAGGATGAAGTGACTTGTTATTATGCTTTGTTTTGTATAAGTTCCATGTTAAAATTCTTCAGACTCAGTAGATATATTTTGTTGGGTGTAAGATATATAATCGAAACTTGAAACTATGCATCTCTTAAGTTATGAGTATACTTCTGAAATTAAGCATATCATGAGAGGCTGTTTGGGACAGTGCTCATCAAGTCATTAGAACTAGCTTTTATTGTTAATTAGAAATGTATCTGTCAGTGCTTGCTTGATTTAATCAAAAGTAATTATGAATTCTTTGGTGCTTGGTTGGAATTTGGAGAAACAAAGGAATGTAAAGATTCGAATGACGAATTCTAGTAAAGGTTTAGCAGTTTTTGGATACTTGGGTATATGTGTTATATATTGCCATGCCGTGACTATTAGTTAATTAGCTAGTTCAATCTCTTGTGCCAATATGTTGTAGCGTTATGGAGTGCAATGTCTATGTGACTGTTTTCTAAGGTGTTATACTATGCTGGATTTGCTCTTTGGTGTATCGTGAAAATGAGATTTTTCACCCTAACAAAAGGGAAGTAGTTTATTGGATATTATGGAATGGTTGTACAGAAGTGAATTTATGTTGCCATTTCATGATTAGATGGTTATATTTTGGGAACATGTTCCCTGAGTCCAAAAGAGTGACTGTTTTACAAGTTATATTCTCTCTACTTTAATATAATACATGGCATTATTTATTGCATTCTATGTTGTTATATGGTACTCTTTGTGATTGTTTGAATTGGAGGATGAATGCTTGTATAGTGTTTTTTAGCTTGTCATTGTCAAAAGAGTCGTTATTTTGACAGCATAACAAGTAGTCATACACCTCTGTTTTGGATTCGATTCTTCGGTCGGACCTAGAATGGATTGTTTTATAATCAGTCCTTTTATTTCAGATGTAAAATTTTCCTTTTTGCTATGTCTTAATCCTTATTTCTGAGTTGTTGGGTTACTTCAAATTTCTCAAAATCTCACAATTTCATACTTTTCTTCATGCTTACAATCTCTTATATTTGTATGAAGATATGCAAATCAGGCAATAGTATGATTTTTTTGTGTGTATCATCTGGACTTGCTGGGTTAGTTTGAGCTAATGATATTTAAACGAAATTCAAGGACTAACTGATTGCCAAATGACCTCTTTCAGAAAGTTGGATATGCAAGATGATGGTAAAGTGAGGAATTATTGGACTAGAGCTGTTCACTGGAGTTTCATGCCGAGCCATTTTCTATTTTATCTAGTTTGTAGTAAGATAGTTTTTTGTTCAAGTCAAAATTTTTGTGTTAGGATGATTCATTTGGTTCTGGAACATACTGCTGGTTTTGTGTAATGGCGAAAGAGTTATTGCCCCAAGTTAATGATGTTTTCTGTTTGTTCTCAAATGCCTGATCTGATGGAGGGAACTTTGTGTTGGTATAACCCTCTGATTTGCGTTGTTGTAGGTAGTTGTCTAATTACTTACCATCTAAATCACAAGCTAAGATGCTTAGCTGTTTAATTGACTTACAAGTGGGCTAAATCGCGATGCAATGGCTCGCAGGTCTCCAAGATTAACCTTTAGGCCCTGCCTGGTTTAGTGTTGAAGAGGGAATAACAATGTAGATCGAAATTGACCAATACTTTTAGATCGGCAAGGTTAAAGCTGAAATTTGAGCACAAAGGAATTAAATTATACGTACCTTGAGAAAGTTTAGTAAACCCAATGTGAATTAAATTATTTTTTTGGACTTCATTTTAGTTTAGTTCAGCTTGTTTCAATTTAACTTAGTTTCTTTAAATTCAATTATTAACCTAAAATTTCTTTCAGTTCAGCTCATTTCAATTCAGTTCATACTCTCTTAGTCCAAAAGAATAGGGCCTTAGTTTACAATTTAGGAGTTTAGGTTTTAGAGAAAATAATTTAAGTAAAAAAAGCTTATTATATTGATTATTAGGCATCCATTACTTTTTTAATCATATCCAGTACATTACCCAATAGCTTAATTTTCGGATCAAATACCCAAACCGATGTGAATCTTGAATTGAGTATCCTACTTTTTGGATCAGGAACCGGATTGGATTTTCGGGTAGTTTTGCTTAGTAAGGGCTTGTAAGACTAATTATTTAAGCTTTGCCAAACCCTTACAACTAATGAGATCCATATTCGGTGGTTGTTTTTGTTGTAAAAGTCCTACAAGATTATGTATATTCATAATCAATTTTCTTATTACCTTAAATAAGTTTCAATGGCAACATATCCTCTATCTCCTTGCCAGCTGGACGGCTGTGTAGTTCATATGATGATCAAATAAAGGACCTTGAAAGAGATGCATTGTATATGAAAATATCATTAAATTGGGTCTTGTTAGATTCATATTAATGTCTACTTTCTATATATCTCATTTTTGTAATTTTTTTTAATACAAAATTAAAGTAATTAAAGTTATTTATTTATAAGCAAACGTAAATAAAACGAGTTGGTCTGATCTAATTTGATTCAACAAATTTTGGTAATAAGATGAAAAGAACAAGTTCTAAAACTACCTTTTTCGCCAATAAATTCACCAAAATTTTGTGACTTCAACATTGCCCAACTTTAAGAGAAATTCATATACAAAGTATCGGTTATTAAGTAAATAGTGCAAATAATATGAAATTTCTTTTCAAATCCCTAAAATTTCCATTAAACCTATCTATTAATTCAAAAGTACTCGGCTATTCCTATTTCTTGCTCTCTGCCTTCTGCAATTACAAACTCAAAACTCTGCAACTTTTGTTTCATCTCTCCCTGCAAATTTCATCATCTTTTCGTTCGTCAAACGTAATCAATTGTTCAATTCAATCTGTAATTGGTCCTTTTATTCATCAAGAAGTGGATTCTTGCTACTCCTCACCCTTGTTCTCTGTTTTCTCCAACCATAAATTTTGATTTTCTGCGTTTCTTGTTTCTCTCTCCTCTGACTTCATCATCTTTCATTTCATCTAACGCAATTCCCTTATTCAATTTGATGGATTCTCAAGAAGGTATTTTATTTATTTCTTTAATTTAACTTTTAATTTTTAATTTTTTTTTTATTTTTATTTTTAAATTTATTTCATTTGCATATTTTTTTTGGTTAAAATAAAAAATTCTTTAATTTTGAATCCAAAGTACGTAATAGACATTTATTTGATGTTTGTTTTCGTGAAAATCCTATGTTTTTTGGAAATTTAACATTGAATTTATTTTAAATTTGTATATACAGATTATAATTATTGGACTATAGATCCTACCGAATTGGAATGTTGTGTTTGTTTCAATCCTTTAAGAGGAGAGATATAATAATGTTTTTTTTTTTTTTTTTTTTTTTTTTTTATTTTAAAATTTATTATATTTGCATATTTTTTGGTTTAAATAAAAAATTCTTTAATTTTGAATCCAATGAACGTAATCGACATTTATTTGATGTTTGTTTTCGTGAAAATCCTACGTTTTTTTTTGGAAATTTAACATTGAATTGGAATGTTCTGTTTGCTTCAATCCTTTAAGAGGAGAGATCCTAATCTGTGCGAATGAGCATTCTAATATTTGTGAACAATGCCTTCTGCTTTCATCAAATTGTGTGCAATGTCATTTGTGCCGCCAAGGTTTTGTAGCGCGCAATCGAACACTCGAAAATGTCATAAATTCAATAAAAGTCAACTGTAAATTCTATAATAGAGGCTGTACTCGTTTACTGAAATACACGAGAAGAGACATCCATAAAAGGACCTGCAAATTTTTGAAGACCAAGTGCCCTTTTAAAAATTGCAACTTCAGCAACTATGATGGCTTAACTCATCACTTGACTCTTTGCCACGAGCATACTACAATTACTCAAGGGGTTGAGTATAAGTTGAAGATCGGTGATCAACCACTTCTGTTTGTTGAGGAGAAAACAGAAATGGTGTTTATTCTCGAAGTTGAATCCAAGGAAAGCTGTTTTGTGTGGCTATCAACACCAGAGTTTCGTCGCTTGTGCCAATTGTCACACTGTACATACGTTTTAAAGGCGGATGACAATGTTTTTTATGGTAACGTCAACAAGTACATACCCCCTGAATTTTGTGTCGTCTCTGGTCCCGGGATAAGAGAAGACAATGAAGCAATGGTGCTCTCAAAAGTTGAACTTATGAAAAACTTGAGTATGGTGCTGAATGTGCAACCCTGAAGCTAATGTTGAAATTGCTTTGTAGTAATTGCCAAATATAGCGGATTGTCTTTGTATTGGTCTATCTGAAAATGGATACCCCTTGAATTTTGTGTCGTCTCTAGTCCCGGGACAAGAGAAGACAACGAAGCAATGGTGCTGTCAATGAACATATGAAAAACTTGAGTATAGTGCTGAAGCCAATGTTGTAATGGCTGTGTAGTAATTGCCAAATATAGGAGACTTTCTTTGTAGTGGTCTATCTTGCTGCCATTTTTCTTTTATAAGCAGTCTCATATACAGAGTAATATAATTTGAGGATTGACAATGATTTGGAATGCCAGCAACTTATTGCTTGTCTGGCTGCTTGTTTTGTGTTATGAGGTTTAGCTTCTCTTGGTTGCTAAAATGAAAGTGAATCGCAACAAAAAGGTTCATCTCATCTTGTTTGTCTTGCTTGCTATAATTGGCTTTGCACTTAGATTAGTTGTTCACTTCTATTACGTATGAGTAGCAGTCTTTTATGAGCTTTCCACAAAAAAAAATAGCTCATTGAAATATCTGGCAAAGAAAAATACAAGTATTGAAATTACTGCATATGACAAGAAAGAATGCGTTTATGTTCTAATTAGTGGACAGGACTGACCTTCAAAATCTATCATAATAGTGTATGCCTAATATTAGGACTCTAAGATAAATATTATCAGTTAACAAATTAAAAATATATCCTAATATAATTTTATATACGCAGAACTTAGGGGGTATAAATAGCTTTTCATATGTTTTTATTTTTATTTTTTGTTGAATCCTCTTTTCCCAAAAAAAAAAAAAAAAAAACCGTTAAGATAGATATTTATATTGTGGGAGTATAAGTTGGGTAGAATTTGGATTTAATGTTTCCTTTGCTCCGATACCATGTTAATATTGAGAGAATATAGACCGTCCTGTTCTCTGCCACTGTGTCGACAAGGATCCAAAACTTTGCTAAAAGTGCACTGGTGAAGCCTATAGTTGTTAATGTTGGTCGACCTGGGGCTGCTAATCTTGATATCATCCAGGAAGTTATGTGAAACAGGATGCAAAATTAGTTCAACTCCTCGAGTGCTTGCAAAAATCCCCACCCCCATTTGTCATATTTTCCGAGAACAAACTTGATGTAGACAATATCCACGATTATCTCCTACTCAAAGGAGTTGATGCAGTTGCAATCCACGGTGGCAAGGATCAACAAGAGAGGGATTACGCGATAAAGGCTTTTAAATCCAGGAACAAAGATGTCTTAGTCGCCACTGATGTGGCCTTAAAAGGGCTGGATTTTCCTGATATCCAACATGTCATTAACTATGACATGCCCGCTGAGATTGGCAATTATGTACACCGTATAGGTCGGACAAGAAGATTTGGAAATACAGGAACCGCAACAACCTTCATAAATAATAGCCAAAGTGAGACTACACTGCTTGATCAAAAACACCTTCTCCTAGAAGCCAATCAGAGAGTACCTCCAGTATTGGCTCTACTTGATTTCCAAACAGAAGAAGCAGCCACTGGATGTGCCTATTGTGGAGGCCTAGGTCATAGGACTCAAAACTATCTAAAATTGGAGCATCAAAATAAGCAACTCCTAAATCCTAAACATGATTATTATTTTGGAGGTGGGGGTTATAGGGCAGAAATATAAATCCGGATTGAAATATCAGTAAACCGACTTTGGATTGTGTTTCAGTTAGGTATCAGATTTTAGTTTTAATTTCATCATATCAGAATTCACATTACATTATATCACAAGTCCGAATGCATGATGTAGTACTTGGCTCACCCTGTTATTCTGGAACATCATTTAGAGTTCGCTCTGGAATTTTTGAATCAAGTAAACTTAATATATCTTAAAATTAAGTGAAATTAGCTGTTTGAATTGACATACGAAGTATGTATCATCGTCTTTATATAGACTCCGTTTGAAGATTTGCTAGGCCCAGTTTACAGCGCAATGAGTTCAGATGGTACACCTTAATGACACAAGTGCAGGTTAGACTGTTGTAGCATTCAGTTTGGCCATAGTCTACAGAAAGAACTAATGTACCTACAATTATCGTCTGAAACATGCTTCATTCCACAATAATTACTATTTACTTAATGTTTCGGGTGAAAACAATGGGACCTTGCCGAAGGTCCGCTGAAACGGAGAAGACTGGATTCGGTCCAAGTTATGCTGGGCCGAAGGTTTCCTGCACAGTAAACACACGTAAACTAGCTTCGGGGGTGTTGCCGAGGAAGGCCCCTCCGATGCTAAAGTCAGTACAATGTGTAGAAAAAGAACACTATGCAAGAGAATTAGTTGCTTGAGGCTTTGCTTGAATATATGAGAATATATGAATCTATGAATAATAATGAATGTATGAATATTGATGGCTTTTATACCTCTTCATACATGGAGAGGTTGGGCCTTAGCCCAATTGGCTTGCTTTGAGGGCTGACCTTTGACTTTAGCACAATGGGAGAGTTGAACCTTGACCTTGGGCTTTTAATTGGATCATTTAATGCCTAGGCCCAATTGGACTAAATTGGACCCAAACAACTTGCCCCCCAGACCCGATTTGGAAGGATGACGGGTCGGGTTTGATTTAATTCAGAAAAGGAGGGAAGTAAATGATTTAATTAATCCAAAAGTTTGAATTTAAACCGTAATTAATGAGATAACAACGGTTAAGGCGGATGATGGTGGAAGTTGGACGGATAATGGGCAGTTTAATCGCAAGGTCGTGTGTTTAACGGTTACTTAGTGGGGTATTTAAGAGAAATTGAAACGCGGACTCCCCGTATCCCATTCCTGGAGATATAAACAGAGGCGCGTCATCTCTCCTCACTTATTCACCAACACAAACCCAGAATTCTCGAGAGAAACCAAGAACCCGCATCAAAACTTCGCAAATTCCCCGAGCATTAAGCTTAGAAACTGAGACTTGCCACTACGAACTCGTAAATCGGCAACTTTCGCTTCAGATTAAGGTAAATTCCTTTGATTTCAGTTTATTTTTCTTCGAATTCGAACTCCTTCCCTTTTTTTCGACTTTTTTCTTCGAAATAATCAATGGCAAGAGGAGTTAGAGGTAGAGCCCGTGCTCCAAGAAGAGCAAGGCCAATTCCCGATCCTAGGAACAGGATTGGGACCTGGAATGGACAAAGGCCAGAGTCTGACCTTGCTGAAGGGATTAGGGCGACTCCAATTTCCTCGGCTCCTCCTCAGAGAACGGAGGGGCCGAGCGCTTCTGGACGGGACGATGAAGTTCCCGCTGTCCTTTGGGATATCCTCCCCGGGTTTTCAGAGTGGGAGAATGCCGAAGTAGCTTCGGCCATGATAAAGAACCGCCCCTACTCATGGTGGGTGGAGAATGCCGAACAATATCGGTTTGCCGAGCAAATTGAGTTGCATTACGGCATTTTTGAAGCTGATGGGTATTGGTGCCGAATGCCCGCGGCATCCGATAGAATCCATCGTCCACCCCCGGGGTATGTGGGGGTGTACACAAGACAGCTTCAGTACGGGCTGAGGTTCCCTTTGGACGTATTCGTCCGAGACTTGCTGATCCATTACAATATCTCCCTATGTCAGTTAACTCCCACCAGCATCCGAAGGGTGATGACATACTTATGGGTCTGCAAGTTCTTCAAGTATGTGCCGAACCTGCACTGCTTCAAAAAGCTTCATCGGCTAGTGCCAAATATTCAAAGTGGGCACGGAAGTCATGGTTCTGGGTGGTACCGGATTGAGTCCCGGCCCCAGTACCTAACCATGTGGCCGAACGACTCTTCAGACAAGGACTGGAGAGGTCAATGGATTTGGGTTAGGGCACCCACAGATCCGGGCCACCCTTGCGTCTTCAGCGCTCCCCGGTACCTTGCTGAGCCTGATCCCGACATGGGAAGTCTAGGTCCCCCCGCAGATAACGGGCCGGATCCGAACCTTGATCAACAACATATCTTCGGCAAGCTGCCGAACCGGGGGGGCAGCGGCCGAATGCAGCATATCCCGGAGACTTGGCTCCCCGATACGCATTATGTTTTCCAAGAGAACATGCTAGCAGCTGTTGGCCTCAGCCGAAAGTTTAAGGATGGTAAGCTTCTTCGGTTGGGGCCGAGGCTTTTTAATTCTCTTTTTCTTCTCTCGCTTCGCTTTTTTATGCTGTGCCAACCTATCTGAACTGACCTTTCCCCTTTTCTTTTTCAGAGCGGGACGAGACCAACGTTGGCATTAACTACGCTCGTCTTGGTGTCAACCGAGAACGAGTTGTAACTGATCGGGCCCCGTCTATCACTGAACCGAGGCATAGGGAAGTTCATCTAGACTCTTCCCACTTCCAAATTGAGGCTGTTGCTCTGTATCAGAGGCAGAAGCCTTGGTGGAAGAAGAGAGACCCCTGGTTTCAGCTGCTGGACGAAGAAGCTGAAGCTGCCCGTACAGCCGAAGAGGTTGCACGGGTTCTCGAAGCTTGCGAAGGAGGAGAAGGGTCCTCCAGAGCTGCTGAAAAAGAAGCTGCAGCTAGGGCAGCTGAAGAAGACGAGGCTTTGCTGAAGACCTCGGTGAGCTTTCAGACTTAACTTTGTCTTTCTTCTTCTTTTTTTTTTTTTTTTTTTACTCACATTCTTCCTCCCCCCTGTCTGTTACAGTCTGAAGAGAGTAACAGACACAGAGAAGGGAAAGCCCCTGTTCATCCCGAAGACCAAATACAAGAAGAGTCTTCAGACTCAGACATGGACGAGCAGCCCCTTCAGAAAAGGCGCCGAAGAATGGCCATTATCGGCCCTCATGACTTTCAGCGGAGGCCGATGACCATCGGCGTTGAAATAAGGGAACCCGAGGAAGGCAATGGATCGCCGAGGGTTCCCCGGCCACCACCCCAATCACCTCAAAAGACCCCTCCGCCACCTCCTGGGATGGAGGTGGATCAGAGAACTCCCGAATCTAAGGGAGGGATCCAAGAAGCAATTCAGGAGAGTGCTGCTGAGCACAAAAATAAGGATGCCGTGATGCCCAGTGCTGAGGGTTTCACGGCAGACATTGCAAGAGAGGTTGAGGCTTTCGTCCTCACCCCTGAAGAAGAAGAGGTCATAGTAATTGACTCTTCTGAGAAGGATGATGCTGAGCCATCCAAAGCTAAAGAAGCTCCATCGTCATCCTTTCCTTCTTTCCAGACTCTGCAATCTGGAGAAATGGGTTTCTCGGCCCCCCGAATTCCAATCCCAGATCACATCTGGGACCTCATATGGGGTCAGAACCGTGAAGGTGCTGCAGCCTACTTCGGCGATTTTGCTGGCATGTCTGAAGTAGATAGGGCAAGAATCTGGTCGCTGAAGGCCACTGCTGGGATGGGCGAATCCAGCAGATCAGTTCCTGACCCAGCCAGGTCTAACCAACTGCTGATGATGCAGGTGATTTTCCTTGCCTTTATTTCCTCTAAAATTCAGCTCTATTTTTATTTACCTTTATTTTTTTTTTAACTTGTGCTCCTGTTTTCAGTTCGTGCACAATCAGACTCTCACTGTAGAGCTGATAGATACCCTACAAGATAGGGTAGATGCTGCCGAGCACGACAAGAAGGTAGCTGAAGAGGAATTAAAGCTTGCTAAGCTGAAGCAAGCAGCAGCTGAAGAGAAGCAGCAGAAGGGTGAGGAGTACGAGAAAAAAGCTGCTGAAGCCCTCAAAACCTTCTGCGACGCTATGGAGAAGGAAGTTTTTCCCCCACTGATGGAAGGGGAAAAATTCCTCCAGGAGCACATGGGAGTGGACGTCTCCAAATTTAAGGCTGCCGTTGAGAGCCGTATTCAGGAAGGAGCTGCTGCACAAGCTGAAGTGCAGCAACGACTAGAAGCTCTTGAAGCCAGCAGAATGGCTGCTGAAGAGCTGCTCCAAGCCAGGGATGTCCAACTCTCAGAGGTTGCTGTTGCTGCTGAAGTTCAAAGAGCTAAACTCCATGAGGCCGAGGATCAACTGATGGCCAAAAAAGTAGAAGTGGCCCAGGCTCAGACAAAGGCTTCCCAAGTTCAGCAGGAGCTGAATGAGCTGAAAGGTTCCTCCTCCAAGCTCGCCGATGAGCTGAAGAAATCCAAGGAAGACTTGGAGGAGACCCAGAAGAAGCTGGCTGATGCGGAGGCTCTACTCAAAGTCCGTGTCTATACCCAGGAAGAATATGAAATGGGTTTCAGAAACGGGTTCAGAGTATGCCGAAGAGTCTGCCTTCATGCTGAGCCGAAGCTGGACTGGTCCAAATGTGCTGAATGGGTCCAGAATCCTGAAGACCCTCATATGAAGTATGCAACTCCAGTCGAAGCTGAAATTCTTAAGGCTGAGGAAGCCGAAGAGGAAGCTGAGAGAATGGAGTTGGAGGCTGAACAGAGGGAAAGGGAGGCTCGGCAGAGTGCAAAGCCTGCTTCTTCTGCTGCTGGGGCTGAGGCCACCATGGGGCTCAACAACGCTGATCAGTCTGATCCTCGGGCTGAAGCATAGGAACTCGGGCAGTCGTCTTCAGAATCTTGCGGTTCATCATGCGCTTAACTTTAGACTTGCCGCTTTCTGAATTTTTTGCCTTGTTTTTTGCTTCAGCTTGCCTTGTCGTACAACAGTTTATTTTTTTTGCTTATGTACGTATTTCGGCAGCTGTTATTTTCCGCTTGTGGGCGGCT